CCCGCACACACGCCCACACACACGCGCACACGCGCACACACGCGCACACACACGCACACACACGCACACACACACGCACACACACACGCACACACACACACACACACACGCACACACCCCAAATCACACACACACACACACCCCCCAAATCTTTTACTTCCTGCTTTGATCCTCAGCCTGGCCTTCCTTGCATGGAAAGAGTTGAAGTTCATGCTCTGACTATAGCAAATCAGTTTTTGCAGGAGACATAGGCCGTTCTCTCTGTCGTTCTCCCCCCCAAACACACACACACACACACACACACACACACACATACACACACACACACACGCACACACGCACACACACCCCAAATCAATAAACAGGTAAATTTTTTAGGTTAGAATGACTTGTGAGAACTCACAGGAGCCCCTTCTATTTTCTGCCCTTTGGCTCTGGGCGATGGTCCCACGGCGGCCGAGGGTGGACTCTGCGAGGCCCTGACGGAAGCGGCAGAGTGTGACTCAGGTGCCTTCTTGTCTCTTCCTGGACTTGGCTAGAGGAATTGGGGCAAGAGGAGAAGAGACCACAGTCACTAAAACTGGCTACCGTCTTCAGTAACTGCTCTCTACACTGTGGTTTTGAAGCCTTTTTGGTTTGTTTCAGACAGGGTTTCCCTCTGGCCCCAGCTGGCCTGGAACTCATCCGCCTGCCTCTGCCTCCCAAGTCCTGGGACTAAATAAAGGTGTGTGTCACCACGCCCAGCTGGTTTGAAGCTTTTAAAATAATTAAAAAAAATTCTCCATGCAGCCGGGTGTGGTGGCGCACACCTTTAATCCCAGCACTTGGGAGGCAGAGGCAGGTGGATCTCTGTGAGTTCAAGGCCAGCCTGGTCTACACAGTGAGTTCCAGGACAGCTGGGGCAAAAAGACCAAAAAAAAAAAAAAAATCTCCATTTGATAATTAAGGATGAAGTTGAACATTTTACTGTATCTGGATGAAATACCTTTTTCTTTTTCTGTTCATCTAGAATGTGTTGGGTCACTTTTTCAACAATTTCATCAGTACTTAATCCTGAGAGTGAATTCTTGTGTTTGTTTCGAACTTTTTTAATAAAACCAGCAAGCTCAGTGCTGAAAGGGAAAAATGACAGTTAGTGCACAGCCCAGCCCGAGAAGACAAACACAACATCAAAAAGCAATCTATAGGCAACAGGCTAGTTCTAACGACTTTTCATGAAAACACTACTTGAAGAAGAATCGCTTTTCCCAAGTAATTATCAAAATTTCAATATTGGGGCTGGAGAGACAGCTGGGCGGTTAAAAGTGTGCACTGCTTTGCAGAGGACCTGAGTTTGGTCCCTAAGCACCAAACACATTCACCTCTAACGCCAGCTTCAGGGGGGCTAATGCCCCCTTCCTGGGGGTGGGGGATGGTGTCACAGAAACACTACCTTGTTGAGTCAGGTATGAGAGCCCTTCCTGAGACTCATGGATCCTTTGTAAGATGTGCACGCAGTTCTCTACAGAATTCAATCTCATCATTTTACCCTAACCCCCTGTTTACAAAGTCTGTGCTACTACTACCATCTCTACCATGTGATGGTCCAGCTTTTACAGTTCACTTACTGATTCCAAACAAGAAACGCTGGAGAGTGCTACTGACCTCATCAAACATTAGCAAACTGGGAAGTTCTGCTGTTGGTCACTCAGTGGCCAATGTTTTCAATTAAAAAAAAATGTTATTATTTTTATGTGTATGTGTGTATTGCCTGCCTGTAGGTAAGTGTACCGTGTCATGCAAAGCCCACAGAAGTCATGTCGGATTCCCCTGGGACTGGAGTTACAGAGAGTTGTAAGCTGCCATGTGGGTGCTGGGAATCGAACCTGGGTCTTCTGCAAGAACAGTGTTCTTAACTGCTGAGCCATCTCTCCAGCCCGTTTTCAATTTTGATTTGCACATAAAACATTCACTTGAGGCCTAGCAACGCAGGTCAGTGTTAGAGCATTTGCCTAGTGTGTAGCAGGCCCTGGGTCCATTCTACCACCAAACTTCTATATTTACAGGAAGCAAGAATGCAGCACTTGTCTTTCTGAGCGTAACAATTAACGTAGTTCTTTTCAAGTCAGTCCCTAATTGGCCATGGCTTTATCTGATGAAGAAACACTCAGTTCGGTCAAGTATTTCATGGTCATAAACACCCTGTTATTCATACCTGTCATAGCATGGGAATATCACTGCTAGGTGTTCAAGAATGCTGTTCAGTGGCTTCTTTGGAGACTGGCTTAACTGAGTAGCCTGTCCTGCTTGGACAGGTAGTTTCTCATCAGCCTTAGGGCTTTGCTCTGATGGAGTCACTTGTCCAGCCCTCTGGAGCTCTGACTGCTGAACAACTTCAGGCTGTTGAGTGGGTGATCCTGGAACCTCCTCTGGGCACCCACCAGCAGGGTCCAGATAGGAACCCTTGTGAACTGCTCTAGGAAGGCTGCCTGCAGAGGTCACAGGCTCTTGCTCCTCGTGGTCCGAAGATGGAGAGAGCAACTTAGGAAGAATCTGTGAGCAACACACCACAATGATCAATCACTTGGGGTTTGCCGTGAGTTAGGAGAAAGCCCTGAAGACAGACTGCTGAGCTTTCACAATGACCATAGTGAGTACACAGCAAATCTGAATAAATTCTTTCTTAAAGAGTCACTTATCCTAAATGGCTAGAAAAGTTTTTAAATATTGTATATTTTCCTGTAAAATTAGAAAAAGTGCCTAAATGACCAGACATCTGCCTACCAGCCCTCCATCAACATCTATCATGTCTCCCCTTGGCAGCTGAACTTTGGGCTGACTGATCAGAACTACCTAACACTCCTCAGCGGTCTCTACCCTACTAAATCAGAGACCTAGCAGTGCGGGCTCCATCCATTCTCCCAAAGTGTGCCCTTCAGGCTGCTCTTGTACTCAGCACTCTGATTCTTACTCTTAGTCCACACCCTACGTGAGGAGACTCAAGGTGTCACTGGAAGCCCGATTTCAACCACCAGGACCCCGCTCCCCAGGCCACTCCACGTTCTGCTGAATCCCAGGAAAGGTGCTCACTGCTGGTAATATTCTCTTTTTTAAGTTTCCAGTCTCATATATTTCCCAAGATCCGATCTGCACCTCTATTAGAGTGACTCCAGAGCAACCCAAACTCCATGTGCTCAAAACCAGCCTCAGCAGTCTGCTTGGCCTGCCCTTCTCTTTTGGCACCCCTAGACCTAGACCCTTCCCACAACTGCACGGCTCTCCAATCTAGTGAGCAGTACAACTCATTCCCTATTTCCTACCACCCACCTCTCCCACCCACTGTTTGTCCTCCACCCTGCCAGCCACGTCCTCATGCAGCCTCATGCAGATACTGCTGACTGGCAGTGAGCCAAGTGGAATTTACTCCAGCCTCCCATACCCCTCCTTCCAGATCACCTTCACTAATTACTGTCCTGTAATATCTGATTGAAACCTAGATCACAGCTCTCCTAAAGAAGTAAGGAACAGCTCAAACCGCTAAGGGAGCTTCAGGAGCAAGGTTCCCCTCAGTCGCCTCCTGCCCCCAAGTCATTCTGTAGTGCTCTGGACAGTCGTCTCCCCCCCGCCCCCCCGGAACAATTTATTTGGTCTTTTTGTTTCTACCTCCAAGAATGCTGTGTTATCTAACTGGAACACTTGGACCCTCTAAGCAACAACATCCTATCGTCCCCAAATATGGCCCCCTCCCAGTTCCTCTACTTGGCCCATTCCTCTTCCAGATTTCTTCCAACTGGGAATCTTTCATGTAGGCCTACATTTCTAGACAAGCTTGGGCTACAGTGTGCAGTCTCTGCAACTGTGGGTTTAAGACCTGTCTTTTCCCAAGCACATAGCACTCTGGGGGCCCAGGCCTCATTTAATCTTGGTCACCACTGAATACTCAATGAACAAACGAAGGGTCAATGAGGCACAAAATTAAAGAATTTAAAGCTACTTAATTGTGGGCCGGGTGTGGTGGTGCATGCCTTTAATTAACCCAGCTTTGGGGTGGGGGGCAGAGGTAGGTAGATCTCTGAGTTCAAGGCCAGCCTGGTCTACGTAGCGAGTTCCAGGCCAGCTGGGGCTACAGGGAAACCCTGTCTCAAAAAACTAAGAAAAAAAAGTTACTTGTTACACAAGTTCCTGGCACACAGTTCTCAGGATTTGGGGTACGAAAAAGCTCTTGAATATTTATAAAATTACATAGACTAAAATTTTTAGTAGTAAAATATTCTACCATGAGAACTTGGAGAAAATGTAAATGAGAAGTGATCATTTAAAAAATATTTTATTTATTATTAATGTGAGCAAGGTCCAAGCTGGCCTTGAACTCACAGAAAGCCACCTGTCTCTGCCTCCCAAGTGCTGGGATTAAAGGTGTGCGCCACCACAGCCAGCTATTTATTATTTTTATTTTGTGTAAATGAGTGTATTGCCTGCATGTAAGTGCACCCGTGTCGTGCAATGCCCACAGAGGTCAGAAGAGGGTGTTGGATCCCCTGGAACTGGAGTTATGGACGGTTGTTAGCTGCCATGTGGATGCTGGGAATCCAACCTTGGTCTTCTGCAAGAGAAGTCAGTGCTCCTAACCTCTGAGCCATCTCTTCAGCCCTGAGAAGTATCTTTAAGAAAACCTATTTCTTTACTGAAGTCAATGCAGAGAAGAAGTCTAGATCACAGTGGCCAGCCTTTTCACTCTTAAAGACACTTGAGAGCAAGCTGCCTGGAGTCACTGGGCATCCGGACTGGGGCAATCTAAAGTACATTCCAAAAGTACCAAGGGAAGAAGGAGAGAGAGCGCAGCCCCTGGTAACCTTTCAGGGGAGGCTGAGGCAGAGAGCTGGGATGGGTTTCCAGGCTGTGAACAGCCAAGCAAACGTGGCACCAGCAGGAAGGGGTGGAAAGGGAGATCTGTCTTTGGGAACCAAGATGTCAACATCATGCGACGACATTCTGAAATTCACCTTTGACTTCTCAGCAGTCTTTAAGTTCTTGCAGACACAGAACCTCTGCTCTGTGTCTAAATCGCAGAAATACATACCTCAGAATGTACTAAAGTGACAACTATGTTTGGCCATTCTACCAAGTCCCAAAATAAAATAACTGCTGCTCTAAAAGCATTTTAAAATTAAAAAAGAGGGAGCTTGACAATTACTCTCACTGGAAAGATTCAGGACACGCTTCGAATTAGCGGGGAAATATGGTGTGCTTGATCAACGAAGCCCCGTATGTCTCACGCACCATGGCATTTGTTTTGCATTTGATGAAGACACAGACCTTGATTTAAGACTTTGGTTTTATGTCCCCAAGTACCTAGGAAGGAGTTTAATCTCGGGCAGTAACAGGAGAAGAGGGACTGCTTGAACCACAGGCACCTGCTCCTCATGGATGGTTTAAATGCCCGCACACATGCACAAAGACATACACTCACATACGCCTAGCATCAAGGAAAGGAGAAGAACCAAAGTACATATTAAGTGGCACAAACATGGATCAACAGCATGTCTGTCTCAGGCTTAGTCTCATGAGGGTTGTAGAAAAATGGATGTACTTATGTTAGAATGTTTAAAATGTAAAGAGTTAACAGCACCAATATAAAAACATTAAGGCAATTTAAATCACTCTACCCCCATTTCCAGGAAACAGCAACAGACTACTTCGGCTAGTTAAGAAAAAAACTGTGGTTAAAAGGATGCTCTACACTTACCGTGTAAGCAGGAAACGAAAGCTCAGAAATCTGTACTTTGGAAAGTTCACTGAGCCGAGAACCATTTTTAATTGCCTTAATTTGGTCTTCAAACTGAGACTGTGGGTAGAAAGGAAAATCTGTTTTTCTAACAAATTCCAAAAGAAAACAATTTGCAGTCAATATTACTTCTTACTATATACAAATACTGTGATGTAAGCACTGTTCAAGACAACCAAAAGCCAATGTGCTGGCGCACGCCTCTGACCCCAGCAGAGGCAGGTGGATTTCTGTAAGATCAGGGCCAGCCTGGTCTACATAGTGAGTTCCAGACCAGCTGGGCCTACAGGAGACCCTCCTCTCCCCCGACCCCCACATACACACACCCACACACCCCATTTTACTGAGAGGCTCACAAGTGGGGGGAGGCACCTTCTAAAAGCAGGGCAACTATCTCTTACAAGAAAGGGAAGTCAAGGGGGGACTTCACTGAGGAATGCTGGAACGTCTCAGATCGTTTCTTTTTTCATGGTGCTTGGGCGTAAACCCAAAGCCTTATGTCTGCTAAGCAAATGAGCTGAGCTACCCCTTAACAACAGATAATTACTTAATATCTCTAATTTCATGAAGAAGCTCCCTAATAAGTTAAACAAAAAACACTGGCATTCATACTTCAAAAAGGAAATGGCTTAAATATGACACTAGCCTCCTGAGAATTCAAACCATTGTGAAGATTTTGACAGAATTGTGAAATGTCTCCTCACTTACTTTTGCGTTCTCAATTTCTTTTCTTACATCAGAAAGAAAGGATTCCCAGGAATGTTTATCAAATTCCACATCAGAAGGTGCTGCAGAATCACTGAAAAAAATATAAAAATATAAAACTGCTTAAAATTCCTACTTTATAAACTGGAAAAATTAAAAGCATGTAAAGACAAACAAAAACACCTAAACATGCAATAAGGTATTTTTCAAAAATATTTTATTATTTTTATTTTATGTGTATGAGTGTATTGCCTGCATGTGTGGGGGTGCACCCGTGTCGTGCAATGCCGCGGAGGTCAGAAGGGGGCTTTGGACTCCCCTGGAACTGGAGTTAAGGACGGTTCTTAGCCTCCATGTGGGTGCTGGGAATCGAACCCGGGTCCTCTGCAAGAGCAGTCAGTGCTCTTAACCGCTGAGCCATCTCTCCAGCCCCACAATAAACTACTTTTTAAAAAATTGGAAATTTTGCACATTTGCCACTGTAGATACTTTGGGAAACTTAAATTATTGGCACACACACGAAAATGAAAAACTCAAAGGGCAGGCCGCTTCTCCTGGATTTTCATGTCTTCTTCCAAATCTTATCATTCCTCACTTAAGACCTTCACATTTATTTAAGGCTATCTTTGCATTAAAACATTTTTAAAAGATGCCGAGAACATTCAAACTATTAAAAAAAAAAAGAGCCGGGCGTGGTGGTGCATGCCTGTAGTCCCAGCACTTGGGAGGCAGAGGCAGGGGGGATCTTCCGGGATCAGGGCCAGCCGGGTCTACAAAGTGAATTCCGGGGCAGCCGGGGCTTCAGGGAGACCCTGTCTCAAAAAGACCAAAAAAAAAAAAAGAAAAAAGAAAAGCCTGAGATGGCTTAGTGGTTAAAAGCACTGGTTGCTCTTGCAGAGGACCTGGGTTTGAGTCCCAGCACCCACATGGCAGCTAACAATAACCATCCTTAACTCCAGTCAGGGCATCCAACGCCCTCTTCTGTCCTCCATGGGCATTGCTTGGGTGTAGTTACATATACACAGGCATAATACCCATACATATAAAATAAAAATAAACAAACCAACAGCAACAAAAACCCCAAAAAAGTAAACCCCCGACTTCCTCTGAAAGTAGAGAGTAGGACATAACAGGCTGAGCCAAACCATGACCTTCATGAATCTGGTCTTGGGCCCTGACAAACACGACACTCCTCGTGGAAAGGATCTACACCACTACCAACCCGAGATTTTGTCAGGTCTTAAGTGGCTTAAAGAAAATCCCTAAACTGGGCTTGGTGATGCACACTTGTAATCTCAGCACTAGGGATGTGGCGGCTGGAAGATCAGAAGTTCAAGGTCACCCTTGGCTACATAGTAAATTCAAGGACAACCTGATCTATGTGAGATCTTGTCTCAAAGCCAAAGAAAATCTAGAATGATTTTTATGTCTTCTCATGTCCAAGAAAGAATCTTTCAATATACCAAGCTTAGTGGGAGGAAGGTGTCACTGGATGCATCCTGAGCAATCTTTTATTTTCTCAAATAAGCCCCAGTTCACACCTATGGTAAGCGTGTAAAAGAGGCTTCAGAATCTCCCTTGGAAATGACTAGCGGTGAGCCCATAAGTAGCTCACTTCAGTGCAGTTTAATATTGTTAAAGATTTGCAACCATTTCCCTGTCCCACCTCAGTGATGTCTGACGAATCATGGCCTATTTGTATGCCTAAGCACTATTCAGTATCAGGGTGGAGAGCTGCCATTTTTTTTTTTTTTTAAATCTTTTTGAGACAGGGTCTCCCTATAGCCCCAGCTGGCCTGGAACTCACTACGTAGACCAGGCTGGCCTCCATCTCACAGAGATCTACCTGCCTCTGCCTCTCGAGAGCTGGGACTAATGGTGTGCATTACCATGCCCAGCTTGAGAATTGCCATTTTTAATATGAGAAGAAATTTCCTACATATTGTTTAGAGAAAAACGGGTAAACTTACATTTTCCAAATACTTAACGAACTTACCACTCTAGTTCATTAAGTTATATGTCCAACACTTTATAAAATTATTCATTTTTATTTTATGTGTATGAGTGTTTTGCATGTCTGCAAGTGCACTCATGTCATGTAGTGCCCATGGAGGTCAGAAGGTGGCATTGGATCTCCCTGGAACTGGAGTTACAGATGGTTGTTAGTTGCCATGTGGGTGCTGGAAATTAAACCCAGGTCCTCTGCAAGAGCAGTCAGTGCTCTTAACCGCTGAGTGTTGTTAGCCACCATGTTGGTGCTGGGGATGGAACCCAGGTTCTCCCCGAGGCCAGTCAGTGCTTTTAACCACTGAGCCACCTCTCTAGTCTCCAATGTTTTGATTTTTCTACAAACAAATATTAATTTTATTTTTCATGTATGAGTGTATTGTCTGCATGTGTCTAAGTGTACCTGTGTCATGCAATGCCCAAGGGGTCAGAAGAGGGCATTGGATCCCCTGGAACTGGAGTTACTGATAGTTGTTAGATGCCATGTGGGTGGTGGGAACTGAACCCAGGTCCTCTGCAAGAGCAGCCAGTGCTCCTAACCCTCCGAGCCATCTCCCCAGCCCCCTTTATTTTTAAGTACATTTTTATTTTTTTTTAACCTTTATTTAATCTTATTTACATATTTTCTCTTTAACTTATTATGGATTTTTTTTTTCTTTTAATCAGGATCTCTCTCTGTATCCCTGACAGGCTTGGAACTTGGCATGTAGACCTAGCTGGTCTTGAACCCACCGAGATCTACCTGCCTTTGCCTCTTGAGTGCTGGGGTTAAAGGTGTGTGCCACCACACATAACCAAGTATCAGTTTTTAGAAATTCATTTTTATTTTATGTATATGAGTGTCTGACGGGCATGTATATAAGTGTACCTGTGTTGTGCAATGCCTGTGGAGGACAGAAGAGTGTTAGATCTCTGGAAGTGGAGTTATAGACAGCTGTTAGCTGCCATATGAGTGCTGGGATTCAAACTCAGGTCTTCTGCAAGAACAGCCAGTGCTCTTTAGCCCCCCAAGTATCAATTTTATAAGTACAGAAATTATAAAACAGTATGGGGTGTGGCTATGTATCCCTGGATGCCCCTGAACATGTACCAAGCTGGCTTCAAACATTCAGCAATCCTCCTGCCTCCACTTCCCAAGTGCTAGGACCACAGGTATGAGTGAGGCACCATGCCCTAATATTAAAAAAAGTTTTTCTCAGCTAGGCACAGTGGTGCATGCCTTTAATCCCAGCACTCAGGAGACAGAGGCAGGGGGGATCTCTGAGATGGAAGGCAGCTGCCTAGTGAGTTCCAGGCCAGCTGGGGGCCACAGGGAAACTGTCTCAAAAAAAGAAATAAAAAGAAACAGAAAACTCCAACGTTTTGAACTTTATTTCTAAAATGACACACAGGAGCACGGGGAGGACTCCGCACCTGCTCATCATCTTCAGGTTCTTGAGACAGGCTTCTGCTTGGGACGCCACACCCTGCAGCTTATACACTTCTCTCTCCTTCCAGTTTTCAAGCACAGACACCTGCCAAACATAGAGGGCACAAAGTTTTGACAAATGAGAACCAGAAACCATTTCAGAGTTCACATGCGAACATTTCAAATCACTTTCCCATTCTGCCTTAAATGAAGCCCGAGGACAGGTCATCAGAACTTGACTATAGTGCGACTCCATCTGGCCAACAGGAATGAAAACACTGGGATTTGAACAAAGTGGGAAAATGACACCAAAACCACCTACTTCAGCGATACGAAGCCGTACACCACGGCCGTGCACAAGCACAAGCCAGGTTAACTTCGAAAGCAGCAGTGGCGCTACCCACCCTCTTGCCACAGTGAGGACCCAGAGGCCTGTAGAAGGCTGAGGGCTGCTCAAGCATCAAAAGCCTCAGGAGCTTCCTTGCAGAACCTTCCCCACACATCCACTGCACTTTGCCAGTCACTGTGGGAAATGCGGAGTACCTCATTTTGGTCCAGATGTCAATAACCTTAACGGTACCCTCCAGGCAAACCTGCTTACCAAGAGGCACAACATTTAACTACACAAGCTCAGGAAATCATCCTGGGTGGGCCACAGACTACCACACTGGCTTTTACCCCTCCTTTGAGGTAGGGAATTAATTGGGAAGTCTGACATTTGCAGACTGTCCAAGTTAATCCTTATTTTCCCAGATAAATCAGTCACATGTACTAATAAATATAATTTATTTCCTTGATAGGCTCAAGCTTGTGATTCTCATCTCTGCCTCTTGGTATATCTGAGATTAGAGTCATAGGTCATCACCCCAATAAGCAAGTTCCGTCCAGTGTAGGACAAACTCCAGTGTCCTTTCTCAGGAGCCATCACCTGTTTTTGTTTGAGACAAGGTGTCTCATTAGCTTGGAACTTCCCAAGTAGGCCATGCTGGCTTGCCCTGGGGATCTGCCTATTATCTGCCACCCCGACTCCACAATGCTTGGTGGACACTTTTTTTTTAAAGTGTCAGTTTGAGGAAACAAATTCCTTCTTGTACACCGAATATTTTAGTTACTGAGCCATCTCCATAGCCCACAGTTTTTTGTTTTCTTAAGGCTTGGCAAACACATTTTACAGTTGTATGGCTCATGGTATATAACTTGATTAAACACGAATATTCAATGTAGAACATGAGACAGAAATTATAATGTTAAATGAGGAAAGCAGGTTATAAAATCTGGCATATGTTATGAGCATGTCTAAGGAACAAGTATAAGATTTTACAGCTAGGGAGCACACTCAGTGGTGTGCTTGCCTGGCATGCATGGTGCCCTTGCACTGAACAAGGAGGGGTAAAAGCCAGTGTGGTAGTCTGTGGCCCACCCAGGATGATTTCCTGAGCTTGTGTAGTTAAATGTTGTGCCTCTTGGTAAGCAGGTTTGCCTGGAGGGTACCGTTAAGGTTATTGACATCTGGACCAAATGAGGTACTCCGCATTTCCCACAGTGACTGGCAAAGTGCAGTGTTGGGGTTCTCTGTTATGCAAGTAGAAGTCTCTTCACGTCCGGATAGCTCACGAGCTCGGAAACCATGTGCTGCAGATTCCTTTCATAGCAGAGTGCCTTCCTGGCATCCTCCCTGACTCTTAAAGTGCTCGCCACAAATACATGCCCTCCGGCACAGGAGTTACCAGGTTTTAATCAGGCATTGTCTGATAGCCTGATAGAAGCCCACCGCCCTATGTAAATGAGGCATCCTAAAAGTACCTATCAGCTAAGACTTCTTCTGCTGTCTCTACACTATAAATAGTCCTAGTTTTACCCCAATAAAGTGGAACTGGATCACTTAGACTTGGAGCTGGAGCTGAATCACTGAGATCTGAGCTGAGTCACTTGTCTTGAGCTGTAACACTAAATCCTGTGATCCAGTCTCCCCGGGGGGCGCTATTCCTCCGTTATCAGCCCACGGATACCCCAGCTTTTGCCGCCTCCGTGCCTCTTCCCTGCGGAGTTCACTGGTCAGGAACTCCACAATCCTGAGGAAGGGTACAAGGGTGTAATAGAGGCGGGATTCCGACTAGATAATACTCTAGTAGCAGAGGAAGCTCTCCGCTCCAGAGAAGTGTGTAGCCATTCTACAGCCAGCATCAGAGAAGTCTGCGTACCTACCGTCTCCAGAGAGGCGCGGAGGCTGGACAGCCCGCCAGTGGCTAGCCAGCAGGACCAGAACCATGGCAGGAGAGTGCATGCACACCTAACCCCGGGCCACATCCAGAGTGAGTGCGCCCGGGAGCCCAGGCGCGCTCCCCACATCTCTTGCGGCCAGACTCACGCCGGGACTAGCCAGGTGTGGCGGAGACCCCAGGGTGCCCTCACACACCACGCCGGGGGTCTAGCGACCTGCCCCATACATCACACCAAACCAAAGCACTCACAGAAGTTTAAAAAAACAAAAAGGCCTAGACCAAGAGAGAAAATAATTATTTTATGGTGAAACAGACTGTGGTTGACAGAATGTTCCTTAACCTCTCACCTTCTAGGAGTAGCGCGACATGAATGAAAAGAACAGAAAAACAAATGTCCCTCCACCACATCTGCCACTCACCAACTGCCTTGGACTCACCTCCGCAGCCACAGCTCTCTGATGGCTCTCTTCAAAGTGCTCCTTCCCTTTCTGTAGACACTCTTCTGTTTGCACGTTCTCATCAGTGCGTGTGCTACTGCAAATGTGAAAAAGGAAAACCTGAGACCAACCCAGCCAGCCAGCAAAGGCTTCAAATACCAGGTCAGCTCTGACATCTTTTCACGTTTTCTAGAACTTCCTGCCTCATGTGTTATCATACAACAGAGACTTGTGTGCTCTTTACACTTCACAAGTGAGCAAAGGAAGATGAGAAATTAAAAGCAAGAATCTGGGACAAATGCTGAGGACATGTGAGGACACTGGGCCAGTCCACGGGCTTCATTTTTATTTTATGTGTATGGTGTACTGCCTGTATGTGTGTAAGTATACCCATGTCGTGCAATACCCACAGAGGTCAGAAGAGGGTGTTGGATCCCTTGGAACTGGAGTTACAGATGGTTGTTAGCCACCATGTGGGTGTTGGGAATCGAATCTGGGTCCTCTGCAAAGGCAGCCCATGCTTTTAACTGCTGAGTCATCTCTCCAGCCCCCATGTGCATATATGTTTAATAAGCAAGTTCTGTGTAGTGTAAAACATCCTCCAGTGTGTTTTCTTAAGGAGCTACCCTCTTGTTTCTGTTTGAGACATGGTCTCTCACCAGCTTGGAACTTGCCAAGTAGGCTGGACTGGCTTGCCGGTGAGCCCTGGGGATCTGCTTATCTCTGCCTTCCCGACAATATGTTGTGAGAGTTCGGGTACAGGGAGGCAAAGGTCAACCTTGGGTGTGGTTCCTCAGGAGTTATTTACTCTAATTTTTTGAGACAGTCTCTCACTGGGACCTACATCTGACCAATTAGTCAGTCTGTCTCTCTCTCCACAGCCCCAGGATTATAGGTACAAACCAACACACGCAGCTTTTCACATGGATATTGGAGACTGAACTCAGGGCCTCATGTGTGCAGGACAAGCTTCCTGACTGAGCCATCCCCTAGTCCCGGTACACTGGGGTTATGGGGTAACTGGATAAACTTTATCAAACACCCTTTGTCTTTTGACCTGGAAACTCTACTTTGAAATATGAGAAGAAAAAGGTGACATACAAAATTGTTTATGGCCACATTTTTTTTTAAATTAATTTTTTTAATGTTGTTTGGTTTTGAGAAAGGTTCTTACTGTATAGTCCTGACTGGCCTTGAACTCACAGAGATCTGTCTGCCTCTGCCTCCAGAGTTCTGGAATTAAAGGCGTGCGCCACCATGCCCGGCTCTAAATCTAGGAGCTTTTATACTGACAATGGGAAATAAAAGCAGAAACTTTGTAAAATGAAAATAATTTAAAGAAAGAATATCCACATATTGAAGCCTTGGTTTTAAAATGAAATGAAATAAAAACTAGAGATACAATTACCTAAGAGAAACAGATAAGAAATAATACACTTAGAAGTCTAGTCTAACTGTGCCTCTGGCAGTAAATGTTATGCTATTAAAAATGGGATCTGTGGGACTGGAGAGATGGCTCAGTAGTTGAGAGCACTGGTTACTTTTGCAGAAGACCCAGATTCAATTCCCAGCACCCACATGGTGGCTAACAACTCCAGTTCCAGGGGATCCAATGCCCTCCTCTGTCCTCTGTAGGCATTGTATGACACAGGTGCACTTACATACATGCAGGCAATATACTCATACACATAAAATGAAAATAATAAATAAAATATTTTTAAAAAAGAATCTGTGACAGCACCAGTCATGCATATTTGGCTATGTTTACAGTACCACACGTGAGTTCCCTCCCATTGAACAGGATTTAATTCCAAATAGATGACTGGAAGGGTCATAGGCCCTAGAGAAAAACCACTCTGCCACATCCCTAGACTAATCCTTGACAGGATCTCCCAGTAGCCCCAGCTGGCCTTGAACTCACAGAGATCTGCCTGCCTCTGCCTCCTAAGTGCTGGGATTAAAGGTGTCTGCCACCATGCCTGGCTGAACAGGCTTCTTACAACAGAGGGACACTATTACAGTTACAGAAGTGGTCAAACATACAGAGCGTCTCTGAGATGCTTAACCTTGAGTGACACATCTTCAATGCAACCTCTGCACATAGAACAAGAGACTGCAGCAGAGCCGTTTCCCTGAACAGGAACAGGACACCTACTTCAAGTTTCTGCTCCCAAGGCCCAAGGATCATTGTGGAAGACGAGATAGAAAGATTGTGAGAGCCAGAGAGGGATGGCCACGGGAGAGTCCAGACAGCTGGTCAGTTACTCATATGAACTCTCAGCAATGGTGACGGCATGCACAAGTCCTACAGAAGCTCAAATCAGACAAATACCAGCACAGACATGCGGAAGGAAGAAATTTCAACCCAATCTGAAAATATGAGTAACTGATGACTGCTCTTCATAGGGCTGGGACTCTTGGTGGGCCTGGTGGATGGACCCACACTGAAGGACATTTGGGGACACAAATCAGACTCTACAGGCTGTATTGTATATATGAGAGTATATTAAATTGGGTGGGGGGGGGCAGTGAGAGGAAGTATGGTGAGGGGACCTAAATGCTATCAAACTATGCTGTATGAAAATCGCAAAAATTCAGTTAAAACGATATTAAAAATAAAACAATTAAAACTTGACTTGCCTGACTCCAAGGGACTGATCTGGGTGCAATTCAGCTTCCTTACTCACGCCATCATTTTTCTGGGTAGACCTATAAAAGCAAAGTCACGAAAGCTTAACTGATTTCTCCCCCCTTTTTTTCACCACAACTCTACACAGCAAATTGTACCCACATGCATTAAAAGCCCCCTTGGAATTTTATTACTAGGGTTTCAGGCCCCAGACTGTCCCAGCCTTACTTTACCCATGTTTTACGGCTTAGAGTAGGTTTTACTTATTGTTTCCATAAATATGTTTAACTAGTGAAACCACTCTGTGAAGTAAGAATGACACAGTAATCCCGTGGTGTCACGTGTGTGGATTCCCAGCTACTCAGAAGCCTGGGGCAGGGAAATACCAAGCTTGAGGCCAGCTTGGGTTATACCTAGTAAGATGAGACCTTGTCTCTAAATTCACAAACAAATCAGCCAGCCGGCCATGGCCTATGAGTAGAAGTATGGAAATTCTAGAGCAATGGTTTCTATGCCCTGTTCTTCTAAGAGCCTAAATCTGCCCAAACATCTTGTTGGCAAAACTTGTAACAGAAAGCTGTTTCATCCCACAGCACAGCACATGGCAGGAAACACAAGTCCTCTTGAAGCTGAGTTTGTAACAGGATCTTCATGCCCTTGAGCCCTGAGACCTGCTTAAGCAACAACTCATGGCAGAAGCCACGCTAGACAGCTCAGGGCCTGAACCGTCAGCAGGCCCATCAGCTTTCATGTCTGAGAGGGCTGGCTGCCACGCTAGAGTCTACGTGGAAAGATAACAGGAAGCCTGATGGAGAGGCTCCAACGAAAGGGGTAGACCTTGGCACTCTCGAGGAAGGAGGCCAAGTCATCCCACTGGAGCCCAGGTGCCGCCAACTCCCAGTGGAACACACTGACATGGAGCTGCTGCCAAGAGCAGCAGAGGCCTGGCTCAGCTGAGCTCTCAGTGCAGACTGCAGGACCACACACAAATACAGGAGCTGCTAAGCAGTTAGCCTGATGTCTTCTTACATAGCAGGAAGCAAACCGAGGGGCCGTGTCACTGTTCAGAGCAGCAGGAGGGTGGCAGTGGGTCAGAGGAGCTTAAACCACACTTGGCCCCTGTTCTGGTCTGCTTTACACAAACATTATGACCGAAAGCAAGTTAGGGCTGGAGGATTTATTTCACCTCCTTCCTCCAGGTTGTTCCACGACTGAGGGGAGTCAGGACAGGAACAAGTAGGAGCAGAGGCAGGCACCATGACGGAAGGCTGCTTACTGGCTGGCTCTCTGGTCAGGCTGAGCTAGCTTTCTTATAGCCCAGGCCTACCTGCACAGGGATAGTGCTGCCCACAGTGGGCTGGGCCCTTTCACATCAATGAACAATCAAGACAAATCCTCACAGACCAATCTCATCTGGGTAAAATCCCAATTGAGACTCCTTCAGATGACTCAGGGCTTTGTCAAGTTGACAGCTCAAGCTAGCTAGGACAGCCCTCTGACAATGAGGGCCGGTACATTAGCAAACCCTGCACATTGTAAGACCAAACGTTAATTATTTGAAGATTCAGGATAAAAGTAAGCATAATCATCACAGAATCTAGACTTAGCCCTTCATTCATCAGTAAGGCAGAGGAAGAAAGTAATGTTCACAGTGATGCTCGGCCCCCAGAGAGGCTGGCCCCACGGATTCTCGGTTTCGTCTGAAAACATGCTGGTTCAGACAGTTTAAAGAATCATTCAATGGATGCTTTCGAAAAGGCAGACAGGCACTGGGAAGTGTCTAGTTTTTAATTTTTTATTTGGAATGCAGTATGAAGAACAGGAGCAGCAGCAGAAACGCCCGGGTCTAAGAACACCGCCTTCAGCTGTTACTTACATTTCACCGGCATTTAGAGCCTTTTTCATTTTTTTCTTCAGCGTTTTCAGTCTTTCTTGGATTTCTTTTTTCTCTTGTTGCCACTTTTTAATTTCTCTGTCCAAATCTTGGAGGAACCAATCTAATTCTGTCTTTGAGATCTAAAAACATTTAATAATGTGTTTAACATTGAATGTCAATACTCACTTGTGGGAGAAAAGAAAAGCTGAAAGACTAGAATTGTGACAGTATCTTGGCTTATACAACACAGGTATGAGCTGGGACCCTGTGGCAGGCTAAGTCACCACTTCCAACTCTGGGACACAGCCACACAACACAGCCACGTCCTAACCAAGTGCTCCTGACCACAGGAAGATGCTCTCAAGAACCGCTTCTGTGTGCCCACAAGGATTCGAACTTTACTCTCCAGCCAACGTGAGTCCCTAATCTAGAAGTAATCCACGCGAGTTTTAGTTGGCAAGTCCAGTGGGTTTTGTCTGCTCTCACAACTGTGATGCCTCTGGCTGCTCATTAAAGGTATTTGGGTGGAACACCTGCCAGAACTTTAGGCAGCAAAAAAAGAGACAGTCTTCTGAGGCAACGCTTGCTCGCCGTCCCCTGGAGGCCAGCGCCACTCCCCGTCCCCTGGAGGCCAGCGCCACTCCCCGCCTGTCTTGTCAGCGCCCTTACAAAGTTGCTGCTTTTTGAAATGTCTGAACTTAAAATCACTTGAAAAGTTTTAAATATTTGCAAAGTATCATCCATTCAGTGGAAGCAAGGTATCTGAAAATACTACTCACTTACAGGCAGAAAGCTGTTTTAATACTTCTAGTAATTCAAAACTGCATCAGAGAACCCAAGCACTATTTAAAATATTTTCTTTATTATGTCCACAGAGGTCAGAAGAGGGTGTCAGATCCCCTAGAACTGGAGTTACAGATGGTTGTTACACACCATGTGGGTGCTGGGAATCGAATCCAGGTCCTCTGCAACAGCAGCCAGTGCTTTTAACCACTGAGCCATCTCTCCAGCCCCCCAAACGCCATTTGAAACAGATAACTAAGAACAGTACGCCAAATAGTCTCAAGTCTGAAATTCTACTATCAGCAATGGCTGCTTAATGAAATCCTGAGCTCATATTTGCTCTAAGGAGACTTAATTTCTTTTCTTTTTTCTTGTTTTTTTTTTTTTTTTTTTTATGTCTTTTTGAGACAGAGTCTCCCTGTAGCCCCAGCTAGCCTGGAACTTACTACTGTAGACCAGCTGGCCTTGAACTCATAGAGATCCATCTGCCTGTGCCTCCCCAGTGCTGGGATCAAAGGCGTGCGCCACCACGCCTGGCTGAGACTTTAATTTCTTTAATTTCTTACTTCTTATAAAGGTCCCTGATCCTAAACTCACTGCTTAGGCTCAGCACATGCCAAGGTTACTAAGAACTAGGCTACAGCTACAGAAATATAGGCTTTCTCCCTCAGAAAGAGGAATGTACCCTAAAGTAAATCTACACAGAATCAGTAGGAAGTAATGATCCTCAAGTCAGTGTAAGGACTGAGGCCCTTTCGCCCTCTTTAGCCTTAGACACCAAGGTTCTCAATGTTCCTGGGAGGCAGATGTGCTAACCAGCCAAGTTCCTTTACAGCTTCTGAGTACTACTTCAGGGAAGGGATGATTTGGCTGTGAAACACACGGGCTATCTACTCCAAAGTGACAGATATTGCAACAGTTCTGTGCTGCTCCCCTTAGGCTGCGGATGAGTCTGTCCACATTTTTCTTGCTAAAATCTTGCAGATTCCAAATCTGCCAAGTCATTACTGTGACTGAGACCATCTCACACTCACTACATTTGTAAAGTCCTGTGTTCTACCTGGTTCAGTTCTAGTCACAGGATCAAAGTCCATTTACTTGCACTGCCACTGGCTGCCAAGCCAACTCTGTTTTTACTCTGAGTCAATGATCTCAGCTCGGATCCAGCTCTTTGAAAGGAAGATTATGTACAGCCACAAGGTTGTGCTGGGGCATGAGAACCTACTTGGCAAAAAGTAACTCAGGGATATCAGGTGACAAAAGGAACGAAGAATTAGAATTATGTTCCTGTGCGCACGCACGCACGCGTGCACACACACACCAAGCTCAGCCAGTGAAAATACGCACGTGTGCATGTGCACACACACACCAAGCTCAGCCAGTGAAAATACGCATGTGTGCGTGTGCACACACACACCAAGCTCAGCCAGTGAAAATACTCTACGTGAATTCATGTACTGTTCATACTAACCACCCGTTAATGACACAGCTGCCTCATAATTAATAAAGAAATGATGTTAACTCCCACCTACTCTTGTGTAGACACCAATCAAAGAAACTCAGATGAGCTACTACCCTGAGAGCAGAGGAGGTACACAGTTCACACTGTAAGTCTGTAATGTGAGGGACTTTAGTTTCTCTTTTAAAAACTGGACTTAGATGCTGCTGAGTACACCCACATGACACCAGATCCAAAGCCATACAGAAATAGGGAAAAAAGCCAAAGAGGAGACTGGTGTGGTGGTACATGCCTAAAATCCCAACATTCAGCAGGCAAAGACAGGAGATCTAAGACTCAAGGCCAGCCGGGGCTACATAATGAGTTTGAGTCTAGCTTGGGTTACCTAGTGAGACCCTTTCTTAAAAAAAGGGTCTTAAAAAACCGAATCTTGCTGGGCGTGGTGGCACATGCCTTTGATCCTATCACTTCGGAGGCAGAGGCAGGTGGAGCTCTGTGAGTTCGAGGCCAGCCTGGTCTACATAGTGAGTTCCAGGACAGCTGGGGCTACAGGGAGACCCTGTCTCAAAAAGACCAAAAAAAAAAGAATCTTGAAGCGTGAGAGACCGAGAGCTCCAGTCAGGGCTGCTGTTTGGTCACAGTCCTCTTAGGCACTCTGTCCCCAGAGTGGAAGTCACATGTACAAAAAATAGGCTTGATGGACCGTGCCCAGTCCAACCACCAGTTTGCAAAGCTGGAAGAGTCTCTGCCATAAATAAACTCCATTCACCAAATGCCCACATGAAGTGAGTATGTGCCTGCGTTTGCCTCACATAGGAAGGCAAATGAATACACAGTTTGCGTCTTCCTGAGGCAATACAAAGTTTACATCAACATTATCGTTTGTTAAATCTCCCAAGTAGTTTATTGAAACTCATTTTAATGTGTCATATGCTAAGCAGGGTTTAATTTTTATTCTTTTATTATTTTATTTTTTCCCACCAGGCAACCGAGCAACAGGCCTAACTCTTCTCATCCTTTGAATCTCCCCAGTCCCATCCTGAGAGTGTGTACGAGGTCCTAGGGAGTGTTACCATAGTTACTTTTACAAACTATCCCTCTTCTTCTGGGGATACTCCAACCTCAATAAATGAACTTATTGGTTAAGGTCACACCAGGCTCACTTCCTTTTTAGTGTATTATTCCAGCTGATGGTTTAGACGTCTCAAATTATTCGCTTCTTAAATGGTAATTAGTGTCTTTGTAACCTTTCTGAATAAAAACAGTAGTTTCTTTAAAAAAGAACAGAGCTAGAGAGAGGGCTCAGGTTAAGAGCACTGGCTGTGCTTGCAGAGGACCCAGCTTGGTTCCCAGCACCTACATGGTGGCTAACAACCATCCATAATAAAATAAAAATAAAGTATTAAATATGAAAAGCAACATCATTCCCTCACAGCCCCACTAATGTAACCTGGCATTGCTCCTAACTAACAGAATTCAAGGTAGGTTAGATTCAAAGCAGATATTCTTACTTTGGAAGCAAGTTTCTGTTTTTGGGTTTTGGTTTTTTTTTTGGTCTTTTTGAGACAGGGTCTCCCTGTAGCCCCAGCTTTCCTGGAACTCACTATGTAGACCAGGCTGGCCTTGAACTCACAGAGATCCGCCTGCCTCTGCCTCCTGAGTGCTGGGATTAAAGGTGTGCACCACCACGGCCGGCTGGAAGCAAGTTTTAATAGCCAAAGGCTCCACGTGTTATTTCCCTTAGGAAGATGGTGATGGTGGGAACAGTAGTGGCAATCAGCAGTCACCGCACCCTAACCGCACAGCAGGGAGCGTGAAGTCCAAGCGCTGAAGTAAACCCACGGAACGGCAAGTATCCCACAAACTTTCCAGCTCAGCAACTAAAACTTAGCAGTAACCCAGGTGACCAAATGCTCAGAACAGAGCCGAGCCTGGATCTGGGCCCTGACAGTCTGCTTCCAAGGCTCACACGTGGGACCTACGATGTGACACTGCCTCAACTCAGACAGGAATTTAACTTGGAGCTCAACATAGCAGACTGAATTACAGATACATGGAGCCCCAGATTTATAGTCCTCTTTTCAAAGGGATTTTTAGAGGTTCCACAGTACTGCAGAAATACTGATAGTGAACATGTAGAGAAACTTCAAAGACGCTATTTTGAGAAGAATTCTTTGTTTAGCCAACAGCATAGTTTAACTCTTTGCGGCTCACAGCACAGCTGTACTCATAGCTCCTAATGCTGCCATATGCGCTTAGGAGGGTTTTGGACAGGTCACCTTGCTTTCTTCCATGTTCCTCTTCAACTTTTCTTCCAGGTCCCTGGTTTCATCTGAGCTCTGGAGTTTAATCTGCTTGTAATTCTCCCACGCTTCCTTAAGCTGCTCTTGTAACAGCTGGTGCTCCTTCTCCATCTGTGACATGTCCCCCTAAAGGAAATTATCAAAGTGCTGATTACAAGTTGTCTAAAATTTGTGATCTTGTTTTGAACTGTCAAGAAATGATATTAATAATTCAGAAATTAGGAACCTCTAAATATTGTTCAGCAAAGTTGGCTTAAAAAATCAATTACTACTGAAATTCATAATAAAAACAGTCAATCTGTACTGTAAATAGTTCTGAAAAATTTGATTTCTGAGAGCTTAATAATAGACTGAAGTCTGACTGGAAGTTATTTTCTATAATTAACATCAAGAGTATTTGATAGGTTTTAAAAGTTGTATATAAACTTTTTTTTTTTTTCCTCTTTTTGAGACAGGGTCTCCCTGCAGTCCTACCTGCTCTGGAACTCACTATGTAGATCAGGTTGACCTTGAACTCAGAGATGTGCCTCCCGAGTGCTGGGACTAAAGGCATGTGCCACCACGCCCAGCACATAAACATATTTGAAACACAAGTAGAACATACTAGTACTTGTCTTAGTCTTTAGTGTTTCAAATGGAAAGTCGCTGGTTATTTTTAAAAGACAAATTAAATTGTTACCAATGAACTGGCTTTAGCTATCCACCTTGTACCAGCTTAAAACAGAAACACCCTCTCCCCAGAAGTCACACTAAATAGGGAATGCTGACACACAGAAAATATCACTTTATGGAACGCTTCTTAAAACCCTCTCATTCCACCAGGACTGTTGGCAATCACATACTTGTGTCTCACTAAAGTATCTGCTCCACACTGGAAACTTCTCCCAGGTGCAGAGGACTGCCCTCCCGTGGCAGTCACAATGCAGAAATTGAATCCAACAGCACAAACCTGGGCCATCTTTACTTCTCCTGTGACCCCCCTTCCAGCACCTGAGCACCTCCCAAGTGAAAAAGGAGGAAAGCAGCCTGGAGCGGCGCTGCCATCACGTGAGAGGCAGATGGAAAAGGACCGCTGTGAGACCGAGGTTCATGCCCAGGAATAAGCAAAAATGATGCTCTAAGTTTACTAACCCTCCATCATGCCAACAGAAGCATGGTCGTGTCTTTTAAGGAGGATTGATTAACTATATGTAAATGTTCAAATTATTAGCCTGAGGGAGATGCATGCAGAAGATTTTCACTTTCCTCTTCATTTTTAGTAATGTTTATTAAAAGAATTTAAAAGCTCTCTATTATAATTGACTAAATCTACAAGTTGTTTTTTAACTGCTTCATTGTTAAATAATATAGCATGATATTTCAATAAATGATATAATTTCATTCACTAGTGATCAATGTTTAAATTGCATTTAATTTTTGCTGTTATACCTACAAACAGTATTTAAATATCCCTGCTTGCTGGTCTCTACACACAGTGTGAGTGCGGATAAATTCCACTCCTTCCCCAGAAAGCTGCACTCCACCTCTCTCAATAGCATATAAATGACTGATTTTCTTATCTCAGGTGGAGCTGGTTTGTTTTTTTTTTTTTTCTGCATTCCTACATCTCCTTTATTGTGGACTATGGATTCACTTCCATTCCCATTTCCATGAAAGGTTGCCAATCTTGTTCTTATTTATTTACAAAACCTGTATGTGTTAAGAATACTATTTTCCAGGCCATACATAATGGCGCATGCCTTAATCCCAGAACGCAAGAGGCAGATCTCTATGAATTTGAGGCTAGCCTGATCTACATAGTGAGTTCTAGGTCAGTTAGGGCTACACAGTGAGAGAGACCCTGTTTCAAGAAAAAACAAAAACAAGCAAACAAAAAAAAATTCTACTTTTCTACTGTACAATGCTGCCAGGTAATTAAAAAAGGGAAATAAACCAATCTTTGTATTATCTTTGCATTACATGCTATTCAAGTACATGGAATACATCTTCATTTAGGTCTTAACAGCATTTTGATATCTTATGGAATACTTTTTCCTAATATGCTAATAGGTTGTTGTTAGTATATGGAAGAGTATTTATTTTGAATATAATCACCTAGTTTGGATTTTGTGGTATAATCCTTTTAAAAAGTTTTTAATAGTTATTTTATGTGTATGAGTATTTTCCCTGCATATATGTAAGTGTACAATATGCATGCAATGCCCATGGAGGCCACAGGAGAGCACTGGATCCCTTTGAACAGGAGTTATGGCTGAACCCAGGTCCTCTGCAAGAACAGCCAGTGCTCTTAATCCTTGAGCCATCTCTCCAGCCCCTGGTACATTATCTTTTTATTTTGTTTTTGTTTTTTTTTGAGACAGGGTCTCCCTGTAGCCCCAGCTGGCCTGGAACTTGCTATATAGACCAGCCTGGGCTTGAACTCAAAGAGCTCCACCTGCCTCTGCCTCCCAAGTGCTGGGATGAAAGGCGTGCGCCACCATGCCAGGCCTATTTTACCTCTTTCTCACAACTAATTTTTTCAGTTAATTATTCCAGGGTAATAATAATTATGATGATGTTTCACCTTTTAAAAAGATGATGGCTTTTACCTTATGAGAGAGAGCTATTAGTGTGCTGAGAAATCCTTACTCATTCCCATTTTATTAGCGTTTTTGGTTAAAAAAGGGACTTGAATTTTATCCACTACCATTCAGCAACTATATAGTTGTGGCTAAATAACTTTTATGCTATACTAACAAAACTACAGCACATTAATAGATTTAGTATTTTTATTATTCTTAAAGTGCTCATGGTCTTTGTAACTTCTGATGTCATTCATGTAAATAACCTTATTTACAAATTCACACATACTTATTACACCAATTAAAACAAAACCATTATATTTTGAATTAAATGTGTGAGGGGGAGCCTAACCTTTTTCTTTGCCTCCTCTTCTCAAATTTCAGCAAAAAACAAATTTTTGCTCTAACTCAAGAGCTTATAATGATAACTAAAGTTATCATTATAATGTCATATGGAATTAGATGGCTCCAAATAGTTCTAGTTCATCTAGATAAATGAGCAGAAATTAATCTATAAGCACTTTAATATAATTTTAACTCACCTGCTGTGTCTCAAAAGGACCATAGGGCTCAGTATTGACTTCTTGATGTGTTATGTTCCAAGATACCTGTGGGGCAAAGCAAGCACTTAAGACTTAACAATTACTCTAGTAAAAGAAGCCCATCATGCAGTATCATTTTAGAACATGCCCAAAATTTATTCAAAGTTTTTCTTCAACCTGGATTACATTTCACGATAGGTCCATACACTTTTGGAAAAAAGTCGCGATTTAGAACCAACGGAACTGAAAATGACACGGGGCCACCAGCCTTAACGTACTTTTTTCAAAGCTTGCTAGGAAACAAAATTTCAGAAAGGGGCAATTCAGTAAGGACTTTAATGATGTCACATCCCATAAAGGCAACTAACTACAAAATAACCCTGATGGAGCCTCATGCTTGTTAGCAGGGACTCACACCAGTCAGTCATTTCTCTCTACCTAGTTGTCTTTTATATAACTCTCCTGCAGCCCTCAGTTTGGCAGAACCCGAGGGAGAGATGTGTAGCCTAGAATCTTCCTCTCTTTTTAAATTTATTTATTTACTTACACTTCACGATTGGGCTGGAACCCAGGGCCTTGCACATGTACAGGCTCCACCACTGAGCTACATTCTCAGCCCCTCCCTTTTTATTTTCTCCAGGGAGCTGGCCAGCACATGCAGCAAGTGGGCGACACCTCAAGCTGGGGACCTCCTGTTTGGCTCTTGTAACTGCTGCATACGGCAGTGGTGAAGGCATGGCTGCTGCCCACGTCTCCCCAGAGGAGTAGCCACATCCTCCTGTCCTCTCTCCTTGACTGACTATGAAGCGATCAGTCCACTGCTGACTCCTTTACCTTATTTCTCATCAGTGCGGAATTGTAGGGGGAGGATGAGCACTATTTACTCCATCCAAACTTCTTTCTGACGAAAGTAGCTGCCATGGCTCACAAAGGGTTTGTATTTACAAATATTTTCAGGAAAGTTTTTGTAGACACTATGAAGCCAGCTATTTCTAAGGCTTTCAGTAAACATTATGGCAACAACAAACAAAAAAGGCAAATTTAGCTTCAGTATTAAGACCTGTATCAGGCTGTCAAGATGGTTCAGTGGGTAAGAGTGATGGGGCACAAGTCTGATAACGTGAGTTCAATCCCACAGTGGAAGGAGAACCGACTCCTGAGAACTACACTCACCCCAGCCCCGTATTTGTCAGCAGAAACAGACCTCCGTGTCTTTGCAGCTTACCTGCACAGCAACCACCGCTGCGTGAGGGGCCTCTGTTACCGCACTGGTACTTTCTGGGTAAGCTTCACATTTGCTGTTCGAGTTCCCGGCACACCCATCCTCTCTCTCAGGCTCACTCAGGGGTGTATCGGCATCACCCAGGCTGCTCTGGGACTTTGCAGATAGTCCCAAAGAGTCCTCAGGGTTCTGTGTTTCAGAGGCGATCTGGCCACCAGAGTCATTCTCAGCATTCAAACGACCACCCTCCAAATACACAGCAGCTCTGTCATCTGCTCTGTCACTGGCCACAATCGACGGCACAACTGGCATGGATCTCTGCACAGGATATTCAGAAGAAACGCTGGCCAAAGGTGTGTACATGCTGGTGAACTGGGGCACACTTGGTAACATGTTTACGTATGTTTGCCTTGACTGGGTGATGTCAAATCCTTGAAAAGGAAGGTATGCACAGAATCCTGTGACCAACTGTGATTGAGTCCAGTATCCTGGTTTAACATCCTCAGGAACTGGCTTGGGGGAATGAGAGGAAGCTGGTTTGCTGTTTGCATCCTCACAGATTGGTGCAGGAGAATCAGAAGAGGCCAGTTCAGACCTGCTGTCCTCAGAACTGGGAGCAGAAGAGCTGTCAGATTCCAGCAGGGACCTCCCATCTTCAGGAGCTGGCTTTGGAGACTCAGCAGGCTCAGGTGTGGACTTTACATGCTCAGACATTGCTGCTGAAGATGACTCAGACACGAGCTTGGACTTTGCATCTGGTTTAAATTCCCTGGCAGTTGGATTCAGCGGTAGCTTAACTCGTAAATATTCTCCTGTCCTTGAAATCTCCTCAACTTTAGCTTTAATGTTCTTCTTCTTTCTTTTTTTCTTGAGTCGTAAGGCAACTTTTTTCAATGCAATGCAGTTGTCAATCACAACAAAACGAGGACATCCCAGGAGAAAAGACTTTAAACCACCGGCTTTTTCTAGTATCTGTCGAGTTTCTTCAGGGAAAAACTCATATTCTTCAGAGAACATCTTGTTGCTCATATCCAAGGGACCATGTTCTTCCATCAACTGAGAGAAGTAACTTGGGAAAAAAAATATGTTTACACAAGTTACTATAAGAAATTACTTGTGTTTATTTTCCCAAAGCAAAAATATTTCTCTTCTTGCTGATACAAAACCCTCTCAACAAAATATAAGAGGAACCATAAGGCTACCTGAAATTAATGATGTAACAACCTAAAGTTTATCCACCCTTCAGAAAACAATCCTTTCTTTCTTGTCGAAGCAAAAGTAAATTAGGAGATCAAACCTAAAAAAAAAAAAACAAAACAAAAAACCAAAACAAAACAAAACCAAAACCTCAATATGAGATAATTGTTCACCAACCTCAAATAACTCAGGCCCCCAAACTAAAACTTTCTAAAAACCATTCCATTTACATACTGTAAATCCTGCAAAAATTTTTCTGACTAGGAATATGCAGTAATACAGAGAGATTAAAATAAATCACATCTGATTGATAAACTACTGTTTCAAGACCCAGGTGCACAGGAGGGGCTGATCCCTAGCTGACTCTAGTTCTGAACTGGGTTTCCTCATCATGGGTCTATTCCTCTCATTCCTGCACCATGCTCAAGGAGAGAGCTTCGTCCAGTTAAACCTTGTGTTCACTTTATAGCAGTGAATACACAATGCCTGCGAACCACACCAGACATCACCAAGAAAGATTTGTCAAGAGGGAAAGACTCCACTGAGGATTTCATAGTAAATTAATGTTAACAAGGAGAACAACTCGTTTAGAAAGAAGGCTAAAGGCATTATTTCTTTGAAGCAAAGAAAACCTCTAAGCACACACTTCTACGGATAAATGCACACCTAAACCCCTAGTCACGGCAACTGGTATTTGGTTAAAAATCAAGTATCGCCTCTCTTTGTAAGTAATGCAGCCCTGAATATCTGTCACCCAGTATGTACTTGAATGTATTAAATTTTTTTGTAGTTAATTTTTTTTGATCCTTTTGAGACAGGGTCTCCCTGTGGCCCCAGCTGGCTTTGAACTCACAGAGATCCCCCTGCCTTTGCCTTCCAAGTGCTGTGATTAAAGGCATATGCCACCATGCCTGGTTTAATTTATTTTTATTTTATGTGTATGAATGCTTTACCTGAGCGTAAGTGAGGCACACGTGCACAGTGCAATGCCCATGGAGGTATAAGTAAGTCTGTAATTTGATGAGTGTCTTCAGTGTTCGCTGATGGACATGCAGAATGCCAGGGCCTGTGACTATCAGCACAGGGGAAGGGATGGGATGGGAGGTACGTCAAAAAGCATTCTAATCCTACTAGTCCGGGAGGTCCCCTTGGAAAACCCCTGTTTTGTACATGCTTGAGATTCTTCTTTCAGAATGTCATTTATCTGTGATATTCTACAACCCTATAACATCTTAGCTCTTCTGCTATGCTGCAGGAGACAAAACAACTAACTTACCTTCTGCTCTTTCTAGAATCAGCAGTAGCACTTAATTTTACATGATTATTAAATCTTGGCTACCGGCTGTGGTGCACACAACTTTAAACGCAGCACTCGAGAAGCAGAGGCAGGCAGATCTCTATGAGATGAGTCCAGCCCAGTCTAACATGGCAAGACCTAAGCCAGCTGGGGCTACAGAGTGAGACCCTGTCTCAAAAAACAATATTAACCAACTAACCAACCAAGCAACCAACCAATGATGGCTGACCACCACTAAAACGGTGCCAGGAAGAAATAAATGCAGAGGAACTTGGCTGGACTGTGTAAGGCGTAAGCCGTCATCCACAGAAGAAGCCATTAAAAATAAATTAGGCCAGTTCTCATTCTGTTTTAAGGTTAAATACTGAAGTCCAGAAAAGGTTAATTTGTAGCGGTTCCCACGGCATTTCTGACGCTTTGGTATTTTTCTACTCCTTTCATATAAGCAAGTTTTAGTTTTCTTTCATGACCAACGAAAGAAGCCACCATTTTTTTTTCCATTACAGCTTTAACATATTCATTGACACACTCCAGAACAAGCGTACATCTCTTTCACAAGTGGCTGTAAGTTTCTAGGTTCACAGTTGAATTAATACAGTTATATGATATTGAACTCAGTATAAGCCCTGCAAATTTCATGATTTCATTTTTCTTTACTGCTGAGTAAAACCACTGTATCAGTGAACCACGTTTTCATTATCCGCTCGTTAACTGACGGACACGTAGGTTGAAGCTGCCATTCTTAAACAACTGTGTACTTCCTTTGTAAAGCCAGGAATTATGTTTTGAGACGGGTCTTACTTTTTGTTTTTTTATTATTCTAAAATATAAAGATATAAATAAAACATATGACATAAATTCTACCTAAAATAAAGACAATCTTCTCCTCATAAATTTAATTTCTTGTTGAAATTCTTTTTAAAAAAGTTTTATAAAATATTTGTTTTACTTTATGTGTGAGTGTATTGCCTGCATGTGTGTAAGTGCACCTGTGTCATGCAATGCCTGAGGAAGTCAGAAGGCGTTGGCACCCCTGGAGCTGGAGTTACAGATGGTTGTTGGCTGCCATGTGGGTGCTGGGAATTGAACCTGGGTCTGATGCAAGAGTAGCCAGTGCTCTTAACCACTCAGCCATCCATCCAGTCCCTGTAGTAGAAATTCTTTAAGAGAAAAACTAGTGAAAATAATATTCTTTAGAGTTAGCTTTTGGATGCCTGAAGCAAATTATAGCATCAGTCTAATTTTTTTAAAAAACATTTATTATTTTTATTTTATGTGTAAGCATGTATTGCCTGCATGTAGGTAAGTGCACCCGTGACGTGCAATGCCGGCAGAGGTCAGAAGAGGCTGTTGGATCCCCTGGGACTGGAGTTACAGACAGTTGTTAGCTGCCATGTGGGTGCTGGGATTCGAACCTGGGTCTTCTGCAAGAACAGTCAGTGCTCTTAACTGCTGAGCCATCTCTCCAGCCCCATCAGTCTAATTTTGTAACTGTTTCCCAACTGTCATGCAGGGGTTCTCTAAAAATGATTACTTAGCATTTTAATTCAAGAGAAAAAAGTCATGAAAAGGGAGCGAAGACTGTTCAGTTGGACTCACAGAACCACGGGCCCAAGGTAAAAGGGCGACATCAGGCAGTGCGGGTGAGTGACAGGGTTTTCAGGATCGTTACCTTTCCAGTAATTTTCCAGCACAGATTTTAGCTTCTTTCCCTTCCTTTCTTTCTTACTGCTTCACATGTTTTTGGGACAGGCCCCCACTATGTTGACAGGTTTTCCAGGAAGCCACAGAATCCCTGCTTCTGCCAGAATTAAAGCTTAGTCTCTTTTCTTAAAGTTTCACATACTGTATTTATTAATGTGAGGCTCAAAATGGCAGGAGACTTCTTATGCTTGTCTCTTTACTAGGCTGTTTTATTCACATCACTTAACAGTTAAATTTCATACTCATATTTTCAATCCTAAAGCAACTTAATTCAAAAATTACCTAAGGAAAAACTATGCTTCTCTTTCATGACACTGATTTCAAGATGTCAAATTTCAGGGGCTGGAGAGATGGTTCAGTGGCTACTCTTGTAGAGGGCCCGAGTTCTGTTCAGCACTTATTGGCTAATAACCATCTGTAACTCCAGTTCCAGGGGATCCAACACCGTCTTCTGGCCTCCACAGGTACTGCATGCATGTGGTACACTTACATACATACAGGCAAAACTTTCATACAGATAAAAAATATAAATCAAGGCTAGAGAGATGGCTCAGCGGTTAAGAGCACTGACTGCTCTTGCCGAGGACCCGGGTTCAATTCCCAGCACCCACATGGCGGCTACGAACTGGCCTCAACTCCAGTTCCACGGGAATCCGAAGCCCTCCTGACCTCCGTGGCATGGCACGACATGGTACACTCACATACATTTTAGAACTCAGAGTTCTAAAAGCAGAAAGTATCATATGCATTCAAACGGACCAACAGACAGTGATCAAGACTGTAACTGTAGTAATTACTCCACCAATTTGTGGAACAGGCGGCAAAGGGTCTTCCCCAGGGGTTGTGAGCCAGCAGGTGAGTGCATCAGTGAGTGCAGGTGACACAAATGGCTCTGGGCCCTTAGCCGAAGCCTCAATACACAGCCATGGAAATGAGGACGCACTCACTCGTACAGAGTGGAACACTTCTGCTTGGGGTTAATATCCCAAAGCTTCTTATTGCGGACGACATATTCACTGCTGTGCTGGTCATAGAGAGCTTCAAATTCCTCCACATCTTGCCGAAGGTGATCTGGCACTGCAAATGGGCCTGCGGAATCTGAGTTGCGCCTGCTGATTTAAAAAAAAAAAAAAATTGGGAAAAAACTTTTGGGTGAGGCACAGGGAAAGCAACTTGCAGAAACAAGTATTTAATTGACAAGATTCAACTAAAATAAATGAAGTAAAATAGTCTCCGCTTTGTGTCACAAAAGTTTGCCAGAGCATTTAATGCAGAAAAGCTACAATTATAGTCAAGAAATCCTGTGTCTGACTCTCAAAGTAAACACTTTTATTTGCAAAGCGGACCGTATTTTTGAGCTCCATATTTAAAACAAAAACAGTTTCTCATTAATTAAAACTTGTTAAGGAGTTAAGACTTTCATTGTAACCACCATTCATCTACGTTAACGTAAAGCTGAGACAGAAGGCACTGATGAAAGCATGTTTTATTTATTATTTTTATTTTGTGTGTATGTGTGTATTGCCTGCATGCAGGTAAGTGCACCCGTGTCATGGACTGCCCGAGGAGGTCAGAAAAGGCTGTCGGATCCCCTGGGACTAGAGCTATGGACAGTTATTAGCTGCCATGTGGGTGCTGGGATTCGAACCCAGGTCTTCTGCAAGAACAACCAGTGTTCTTAACTGCTGAGCCATCTCTCCAGCCCTGAAATAGTTTTTTAATCAAAAAGAATTTTGGCTTTGCTTTCTTGAGCCAGGATCTTACACTGCGCCCAGACTGGCCTCAGAGTTTCAGCAATTCTGGGATTTCAGGCAGAGCTATCACATGAAGCTTTTAACAAAATCACAGGACTTCGCTGGGTATTTTAAAAGCTGGGCTATTAACACAAGCACTCTGTTGCTTTGGGGAAAGGCGTGTGGGCCACTAAGGCAACGCCTCCGACGCTGGATGGATGTGGGGAAGCACCTCACCTTTCCTTGCTAGTTTTGAGAGGCTTCTTGGTTCTGAGGAGGAAGGATCCTATAATACTGACATGTGGCCATCTTGGCACTGGTGCCTTGGTATGGGAAAAATCGTGTGTTTTCATGTCTCTTCTCCCTTTCTACCACCAACATAGCCTTAACTCCCTTAAAACCAGAGGCCTATTTGGACCTGACCCCATAAAACTGGTTTTGTCCACATGTCAGGCACTCCACAGTGGCTCTGTCTCTGGACTGCAGATTATCAGACTGAGAATGCTACCATTTACATTTCATTCTCAGGATTGTCTCACGAGAAGTTAATATGCTCACTGAGGAGTGTCAATCCTCCGGCTAAACTTCTATTCCAAGCATCAAATAAAGACTTCACTGGTGTGTGTGTTTAAAACAGAGTCTAGTTAGACCAGGCTGGCCTGAAACTCACTATGTAGCCCAATCTGGCGTAAAACTTGATGCAATCTTCCGCCTCAACCTTCTGAGAGCTGGCACTGTAAGTGTATGTCACCACACCCAGTCTACTTTATGGGGAGTTACAAAAGCCTTCTGATTTTGGTAGTCTATCCAAAAAGTTTTAAAGTTATATATTGTTAACAATTGGTCATGACCTCCCTGAAATACAGTGATTGTTCATGCAAAGCATCTTCAATAAATCTGCATATAGTTTGGCTTAGGAAATAAGAGTATAAGATTTAAGGACCCTAAAAAGACGTAATAGTTTGAGCGGCAGTTTCAAAGTCAGAATGCACGGTTTAAACGCTGGATCTGATATCTACCAGCTTTGTGTCTTGGGCAGTCACCTGACTGCACTGTGCCTTAGTTTCCTTATCAATACAGTTTTTGGACATAGTAACAGTAACTATCACCTGTGGTAGAAAAATGGATTAAATGCATTTATATATGAAGAGCCCACAAACAGAACCTGGTACATACATATTAATACATAAAGCTATGCTGTGATCTAAAAGTCTGTGCACCCCATGCCCCTGGCAAATTCTTATGCTGAAACTTAATCACCAATGTGATGGTGTTAAGATGAGGAAGTCTTCTGGAGGCAATCAGGTCACTAGGGCACAGACCTTATGAATGGGACTTGGGCTCTTTTATTAAAAGAAAAGTCTGCAGGGAGCGACTTTTCCCTTCTATTATGTGAGGACACAGTAAGAAGATGCCGTCCACCTATACACCAGAAAGCAGACCATTAAAGACCAGGCACCCTAATGCACTGGCCATTTTGATACTGGACTTCTTAGTGCCAAAAAAGCGAGAAATAAATGCTTGTTGTTTTTAAGTCACTGATTTTATGGCTTTTTTTTTCCTGGTAGCTTAAACAGACCAAGACAGGTTCTTATTATTTTAACTTAAAACAATACTGCCACTTAAAAGAATCCATGAAAATGTCCTCATTCCTGTCTGACAAGCACGTTACCAACTGAGCAGTACTGGATCATATTAAGTGTGCAAGATAATGGGTTTCAGCTCGAACATTTTAATACATGTATATGACATACTTCGGTCACACCTACCGCCTTAAATCATTGTATTTTCTTCTTCCTTTCCTATACCTGTGGCCTTAGTACAGCCTGAATGAATTCTTAGGGACTATGAGCCATGCCATTAACTCAGCCAAGATAGGTTGTCATAATGATCTCATACCATTAGGAAGATAAGTTAAGGAAAAAAACGGTACTTACTTGTGGTCGTCTCCTGAAGCCTCACTATTTGCTGTTACTGACGTTCCAGATCCCACTAACATTGGCTGGTTTAAAAGAAAGAAAAATGACAATGATAGTCTACCCTAAAATTTCATGAAAGAAAAAAATTACCACTGCAATCGATAAATGTTTATATAAATATGCAAGCCAACCACCAATATCAAATTTGTTATTAACAGAATTGAGTAAAGTAAGTTTTAACATCCAGAAATAGGTTGACATTAAAACTTAAGGGAGTTTCCAATGTTCCAAAAATCTTAAATGTCACTACAATTCAACGTAACTAAAATGTCTACATTAAAGATGCAAAGTTTAGTTCTACTGGAACTTTCAAGTTGCTTGCACCCCTTTCCAAGACTCTCTCCTCTCTAGGTCAGTGCTGTGAAGAACTGCAACTTTTACCATGTCCCCTGGGCTTAGAGTTGCTGTCTAATGTGAAAAGAAGGACAGGAACCTATTCAAGAACATCAGGATGACTAGAATTCATCAATTTTGACTGTTCTAGACAAAATATTCTAACAAGTCAGAGGGCCTGTTCTGGCCTCCCTCTGCCATAGGGGCTGAGAACCCAGGGGACTGCCTGAGAGTGGCCAGAGCCTGCCTCCATGTGGTGATAAGAATTATGCAATTTGGGAGTCTTTTAGATAGACCCACTGAAGGGTTACTCCAATTGCTTCACCCTGCATCCCTGTTCAGCATGGAAGAAGCCAGAGCGGTTTATGTCCTGATTCCCTATTGGCAAGTTGGGTAACCTCTTCAGAGGATGATGTGATAAGAATAGGAGGTAGGACTTTGCATAGGCAGTTAGGGTAAAAAGACCCCAAAGAAAAGTAGCCAGTTTCTTGGCTAAAACTCACAATGTCCTTGGGCCTCTTAGCAACATACTCCATTCCAAAGGCCAAAAATGTCAAAAATATTTGGGAACTTTTATCTAATCCTTAAAGGATTTTAGGGTTACCTCTTCAGGGGGGGATGTTAGAGTAGGAAAAAGAAGAAAGAGTACATGAAGTTATCAAAAAAAGGGATGGGGAGATATGGGAGGAGTTGGAGGGGAGGGAGTGGGCATGGATTTGATCCAAACACCTTATAATTATATGCCTGTATGAAATTCTCAATAAATTTTTTTTTTTTTTTGGTATTTTTGAGACAGGGTCTCCCTGTAGCCCCAGCTGCACTGGAAGTCACTATGTAGACCAGGCTGGCCTTGAACTCACAGAGCTCCGCCTGCCTCTGCTTCCCGAGGACTGGGGCCATACCTGGCTCTCAATACATTTTTAAAAAATACATAAAAAATAAAATGTGAAAAAAATATTCAAACAAGGAATTCCAATCAAAGTTTCGGATACTACAAACTAATATATTATACTTTATTATCTGATCATAAAATTCAGTTAACTAATATAAGCATGCACTACCTAACAAGGGTAATGCCATTAGCTTATTTCCTGCAAGTGAGTATGTTTTGTGGTGTGGACATGTGTATCTGTTACTGCAAATTCCTGTGCACATGTGTGTGCATGCATGTAGAAGCCAAAAGTTCACATCGGGGGTCCTTACCTATCACATTCCACCTTATATTTTGAGACAGGATCTCTCACTGATCCTGGAGCTCACCAATTTAGCTAGACTGGCTAGTGGAGAAAGACCTGTCTTTACCTCCCCTGTGCTGGGATTACAGATGTGCACTGCTGCACCTGGCTTTACATTGGTGCTGGGGATCCTCACGTTTATGTAGTAAGCACTTTTCTGATGAGGTGATCTCACCAACCCCTCTTTGAAATCTACAAAGCCATTCTTTACAAAATGCTTCAAAATATTCCAAGAATCGCCTTTTCATTTATGTATCCAAGTAGCCATTTTGGAAAGTTTAGAGAATCACAACAGAAATCATGCCACACCTTTGACTCTTTTGGCTTCTTTTTCTTGCCCTTGTTTTTCACCTTGATAGAACTAAACTAAAAAATGAAGAAGAAAAATCAGTGAGGACTCAAACAGCAGAAGCACAAAGCCCGCCACATTCATATTCATTAGACCTACGCTGCATGCACAGACTCTTAGCCAAAATAATATAGTGGGTACGTCAGCCCAAGTACTACAGGAAAAAGTTTAATGATACCCAACAGTACAGCTGCAATTAAAATGCTCCAATATTTGAACCTCATTTTCAACATGGCTCATGTTATTTTTAAATAATTAATCAGCCTTTCAAGCATACTATGTAATAGAGAAGTTTAAGACACAATTTCAAGTATAGATGACTTCATTCTGAATACTGGTAAGAAAGCATTTTTTTTCTTTGAAAACAGCTACAATGCTGTTCTTTTCACTATCTAATCAGGTTCTTCAACCTAAGATTCAAGGGCTCTACAATCCACTGAGGAAGACAACTTTGGAGCTAGTCTTAATTTAAACTCAATAGAGAGCTACTGGAAACAAAGTCTCCTGGGGTTCCTTCTAGAGCAAAGCATTTTAATTTTTCCTAATTAAAGAACCCTTCCTTTCTTCTTTCTAAAATTAATATCTATTAGTTATAAAACCTTATGAAGATTATCTATGCCTCAGAGTTTGCTGGTTACCAATCCAACTCCATGAGGAACACTGGCAGTAGCTTGCTCTAGGCCAGGTCTCACTGCTGGCCTTGAATTCACTATGCAGCCGAGGATGAACTTTAACATCTGACTGTCCTGCTTTTGCTTCCTGAGTGCTGGAATTACGGCCTATGCCACCACACCAAGTTTATGCAGTGCTGGGGATGTAATCCCGGGGCTTGGCATATGCTAGGCACCTCTCCACCAACTGAGCCGAATCTCCCTCCTGAAAGAAGGCTTTTGTGTGGGTCTGGAATGCTATCTGTGAAGCAAGAACACTGGTCTGGCTCTTCCTCTCCTCCTCTGCCTAATAAAAATTAGGAACTAAGACCTAAAGTGGTCACAGAGCTTACCGGCACCTCATCACTGTCCTGTTTCCTTAATATGGTACATCGGCTATCTGTAGGAAGAACAGAGGGGTCTGTGAGGCAACCCAATTATTTGAGTTTTCGTGTCATATACTAAAAGCCTTAAAACCATCCTTGAGACTGACAGCGCAGCCTGTGCTCACCTCTTCACGTGGCTTTGATACAGTAGGTTTAAAAAACAAGGCAAAAGAACTGCCTAAATGGGAGATCAACTACAGAGAAGCTCACAACTTCAATCCAACTCAGTATAATCTGAGTGTCTTCTAGGTGCCATTTATGCCATGAGGTGAGAATACAGAGATGCCCAGAACCACTGAGCTTATGTTCTGCTGTCCAAAAGAGAAATACCTACAACCCAGTGTTATAGGGGTCACAATGACAGACACCACCAGTAATGCTGAAGGAGTGATACAGTCTTTGGGAAGAAGCCTAAAGGAGGATGAGGGAGGGCTCTGAAGAGGATAAGACATGTGATGAACAGGCCAAGGAGATGATGGCTGGAGAAACAGTATAGGCCATGTCAAGTGGCAGGAAATCAAAGAAAAGGTCTGGGCAGCCAAGGCCAGGTACGCAGAAGGCAGAGAGAGTGACACTAAGTACAGAATGATAGGACCACAATGTGGAGGCAAAATTAAGGAAGTGTTTCCCACACAGAAGAGTTACTGTGCTCTACAAGAGCCACTAGAGGCAATACAGTAAGATCAGAAATATAAAGGCCAGTTTCAGGGCTACTGTGACAATCGACATGTAAAGATAACTAAGGTTTCAGCCTAGGGAACTGCCATAGACAGGAGACATCAAAGATAAAACCTATTTGGATTGGTGACAAAGTAATTATAACAAGTATCAAGAAAAAGAAGTCAAAACTAGTTCCGATGTTTCTTACTTAAAAATTAGATATAACCTTTGTATCTCTGGGCAGCCCAGACCCCCAACTTCCTGGGGCCAACACCATTCCTGGGTAAGTCTGGCAGCACTCACTGTGCCTTGACTCCCCCAGCCTCATTCACCCTCCCAGCTCCCCCACCCCACCTCTCCTCCTAGTGGGGGCACTGGCACATTTCTTGTCTTGGCACCTCAGACACCGGGGTTGACCTCTTGGCCCAGACTCCCCACTGCTTCCTGATCCTTTGCATCCAGACCAACCCAATTTCTCCCTCTAGTCCTTGGGAGCTCTCGGGGCCTCTTCCCATCCCCACCTCCCTTCGCATCTCTGGGCAGCCCAGCCCCACAGCTTCCTGGGGCCAGCAGCTTTCCTGGAGGGATCCATTCCTTAGCAGAAAGCCTGAGAACATCTGATCCTCATCAGACTTGGGCCTCTGTGGGAACTCCTGAGCAGGAAGACGAAATCAATTTGGCCCCTCCAATATAAATTTAAAAGAGAGAACCCGAAGCCTAGACCAACCAGCTTTTCATGCCCAACAAGTAAACCACAAAGGCACATAAAGTTTACAAAAAGAAGCAGACCTAAACTCGACATAGGAAGACTTGAGACTCACAAAAGAATCAGAAACTACAAAAGAAATCCACATGTCAAAAGTCACAGAGATACAACCAACCCCCCCCCAAAAAAACTACAGACCCATATCCTTCATGAACATGTAAAAATTCTCAACAAAATACTTGCAAACCACATACAGACACACATCAAAAAGATCATCCACCATGATCAAGTCAGCTTTATCCCAGAGATGCAGGGATGGTTCAATATATACATAAGTCAATAAACATCATTAATCATATAAATGGACTCAAAGACAAGAACCAGATGGTCACCTCAATAGATGCAGAGAAGGCCTCTGACAAAATTCAACATGCATTTATGTTCAAAGTCCTAGAGGGAACTGGACTGGAAGAACATACCTCAACATAATTGAAGCCATGTATAACAAACCCACAGCCAACATCATTCTAAACGGAGAAAAACTGGAAGCATTCCCATTAAAATCAGGAACCAGACAAGGCTGTCCACTATCTCCACTCCTTTTTTATATAGTGCTTGATATTCTTGCAAGAGCAGTAAGACAAGAGAAGGAAATTAAAGGCATGATAATTGGAAAAGAGATCAAATGATCCCTTTTTGCAGACGATATATTATATCTAAGAGATGTCAAAAAATTCCACCAGAAAACTCCTAGACATGATCAACACTTTCAGTAAAGCGGCACGCTACAAAATTAATTTACTAAAATCAGCCTACAAAAGTCTGTAGCCTTTCTATACACCAATAACAAGCAATCAGAGAAAGTGCACATGGAAACACTCCCTTTCACAATAGCTACAAAAAATAAAAATAAAATATCTCAGAGGAAACCTGCCCAAAAGACATTAAAGAGCTCTACAATGGAAATTTTAAATCTTTAAAGAAAGAAACTGAGGAAGACACCAGGAGATGGAAGGACCTCCCATGCTCGTGGATTGGAAGAATTAATATTGTGAAAATGACCATCCTACCAAAAGTCATTTATAGATTCAATGCAATGCCAATCAAAATCCCAATGACGTTCTTTAGAGAATTGGAAAAAGCCATCCTCAGATTCATATGGAAGCACAGAAGACCTTGAATAGCCAAAGCAACCTTGAACATTAAGAGCAATGCTGGGGGGGAATTACTATACCAGATATTAAACTGTATTACAGAGCTATAATCATAAAAACAATATGGTACTGGCAGAAAAATAGACCCATAAATCAATGAAACAAAACTGAAGACCCATATATGAATACATGCATTTCAGCCACCTGATATTTGACAAAGGGGCCAAGAACATTCACTGGAGGAAAGACAGCATGGTCAGCAAATGGTGCTGGCAAAACTGGATCTCCACCTGTAGAAAAATGAAACTAAACCTCTATCTTTCACCTTGCACAAAAGTCAACAGTTACAAAATTAATCTACAAAAGTCAGTAGCCTTTCTATATACCACCAAATGGATCAAAGACTTTAATGTGAAGCTTGAAACACTGAAAATGTTAGAAGAAAACATTGGCAATTACCTCCAAGATACAGGTGCAGGAAAGGATTTTCCAAACTGGACATCAATTGCTCAGGAAACAAGGTCAAGAATCAACAAATGGAACCTCATTTAACTAAAAAGCTTCTGTACATCAAAAGAAGCACCCAAGGAAATGAAGAGAAATCCCACAGAGTGGGAGAAAATTTT